CATCGGCAAAAATATGGGAGGCGCTTATGATATCTCTGAGGTTTTGGTATTTAGATACCTTTTTGAGATCAATAATAACAGCAAGCTCGAACTTCTTCAGGATAGCTCTCTGTTCATCTGTCAACCTGTTTTCGTCAAGTTCAGCCCAGTCAATTGCCAGTTTCTTCACAAACGTACTCTTCCCGATTCCAGTCTCCCCTTGCACGAGTATCCTGTTTGATAGCAATCCGTTCTTGTTTTCAGCGAACACATCAGTGTAGTGATTCAGCACAGCCCGTGATGACCCAGCTGGGGTTTGTTCCGCTTTCACCCAGGACAGCCGAGTGTAGATCTCGTGAATATTCACAGCACATATTTTGGACCACACAGAGGTTGGTACCTTGGCGGTTCTTTTGTAATGCTCTGCAAGTTCACGCCGGCAGACTTCCACGTCAAAATGATTTCTGGGTACGTCTGGTATGTCTGTTTCAAGAAAACAAAATCCCGATAAAAAACAATTATTAAAATGAGGAATGTTTACTCATGATACATTTCAATGGCATGTACAATTTAAGACTAACTGTCACCAGCTGGGTCTCAGGCTTAAGGTATGACGTCAGAACTGTTAATGGACAGTTGAACAACCTATTACCATACCCCCCGACCCACCCACCACTAATAATAAAATATTTAAACTGGGCTTAATTTTAGTGTCTGCTTGCGTCCACTTGGTGGAGGTGTCCTTTTACAGCAGGTTTGCTTTACAGTAAATATGGGGTAACGAAACCAAAACTTTGGTCAGCGTCTGCTTAATACAAAATTCACTGTCATGGAATAAATCATTTCAATTATTTCTAATTAATCAATGTTGTTGAAAAAAATTACCATGATTGTAACAAATTTGTTCTGCTAAGTCTTTGCGCTGCACGAGTTTATGCCGTAATGCAGAATTCAAAATTTGATACGTTGCTTTACAACCATTCTCCTGTTTCCAGTGCATTAACATGTGGTATCCTCTCTCACTCAGCTCCTCATATCGTTGTTTTATATCCTGTAGTTTTGGATTCTTGACCCCCAAGCGACGCCCAAGCTTCATCCACTTTTCAGCAATTTCTTCTCCTAATTCTTCCAATTCCTCATCTGTTGGTGTGCCTTTTTTTACTAAAGAAAGGAATAAATTCTGTTACTGGGGTCTTGTCAACAAGATAAGCAGATCGCATCTTAAGAAACAAACATTTCCAACCAAGTTCGATTGCGCCAATCAGTGTTCAGGACCACCACAAGC